GGAAGAACCTGCCGCATCTTCTTGATAATACTTTGGCAAGAATTTTATACGCTAAGCTTTCCAAACTTATTAGCCTGAAGTCAGACAACCCAATGGGACAATCCTTCTTTGGAATGAGTTAAATGAATGAGCTATTAACACCTTTAGCCAGCTTCCCATTAAAGTGAAATTCCTTCATCACTTGAATAATCTTAGCTTTCATAATAGCCCAACACTTTTGGAAACAAGCTAGGTTGAATCCATCAGGCCCAGGGGCTTTATTCCCAGGATTAGGGTTCCCGTCAACTCATTATCTCGGGATTAGGGTTCCTAGATGCTGTAATGTTCGCACAGAGCATTTTTTTGGTGAAAAAAAAAAAATCCTAGTCCCAATTTTATAATGTTATATGAATAATTTTTTTAATATCAAATTTGTTTATTATTACTTGCAAAAGAATGGGTTCACATTAATATATGAACTAAATTTGTCTAGTATAAAAATTAGATCCAATTTCATTGGTAGCTCATAATTGGTTTATTTTGTATAAAAAATAAATGATCCGTCACTGAAATCATATTTGTCTTCCATACTTCTAAAAAATAAATGTGTTTTGACATTACAAAAACTGCACATTTGGCGACTAAAATTAGCAACCAAAACAATTTTAGTCGCCAAAAATAGTACATTGGGCGACTAAAAGTTGATTTAGTCGGCGTTAATTGCATCTTTTAGCTACTATATTATTTTGGTCGACATATAATTCTTATTGGCGACCAAAAATAGTTTTAGTCGCTGTTTGTTGGCATTTTACGCTACTAAATCTTCATTTAGTCGCCGTATAAAGTCATTTTCCGACAAAAAAATTTAGTCGCAAAAAAATGGACACATTTAGATGAATTTTTGACGACCAAAAATAATTTAGTCGTTGTATATTAAACATTGCCGACGAAAGTTAACATTGATAGCCAAAATGTTATGTTTGGCAACCAATGTTTAGTCGCTGTTAATGAGATTTGCCGACAAATAAGCATTTAGCCGCTAAAGCTTCGAAATTTTTTTAGAGGGAAAGTCATTAATATTGGCGCCCAGTATCCCACTTACACAAAAACACATTTCGGTTCTGTTATGTCTCACACACCAACATAGAGAGCAGTCGATACCAAACCTCACCACCACTTACCACCGCCGATTATCACCATCGCTGGCCACCAGCGCTCGCCACCACAACCAATCAACTCAATTTTTACTATGGATAATTAGCTTGACATGCCTTAGAAATTGAATAGTTTGAATTATTAAAATAGGTTCAAAATTGGCCAAAAATTATGAAAACTGGACCCTTCAGTACAAAGATTGAACAGGAAAAACAAGCTAAAATAGTCTCATAATGAACCCACGACCATGAAAATTAGACCTTTCAATCCAAAAATTAAACAGAAAAAAGATACTAAAATAGACTCATAATGAACCCACAACCATGAAATTTCACAACAAAAACATATTTTAGTGGCACTACACTAGTGGCATATTTTTAGAAAATGCCACAAAAAATGATATTTAGTGGTACGTTTTTGAAAAATGCCACAAAACGACAAACATAAAAGGCTCTAGTGACATTTCAATAAACAAGAGTCACAAAACTACAACAAAAACATACTTTAGTGGCACTACACTAGTGGCATATTTTTAGAAAATGCCACAAAAATGATATTTTAGTGGCACGTTTTTGAAAAATGCCAAAAAACGACAAACATAAAAGGCTCTAGTGACATTTCAATGAACAAGTGTCACAAAACTACAACAAAAACATACTTTAGTGGCACTACAATAGTGGTATATTTTTAGAAAATGACACAAAAATGATATTTAGTGGCACGTTTTTGAAAAATACCACAAAACGACAAACATAAAAGGCTCTAGTGACATTTCAATAAACAAGAGTCACAAAACTACAACAAAAACATACTTTAGTGGCACTACAATAGTGGTATATTTTTAGAAAATGACACAAAAATGATATTTAGTGGCACGTTTTTAAAAAAATGCCACAAAACGACAAACATAAAAGGCTCTAGTGACATTTCAATGAACAAGTGTCACAAAACTACAACAAAAACATACTTTAGTGGCACTACAATAGTGGTATATTTTTAGAAAATGACACAAAAATGATATTTAGTGGCACGTTTTGGAAAAATGCCACAAAACAACAAACATAAAAGGCTCTAGTGACATTTCAATGAACAAGTGTCACAAAACTACAACAAAAACATACTTTAGTGGCACTACAATAGTGGTATATTTTTAGAAAATGACACAAAAATGATATTTAGTGGCACGTTTTGGAAAAATGCCACAAAACAACAAACATAAAAGGCTCTAGTGACATTTCAATGAACAAGTGTCACAACACTACAACAAAAACATATTTTAGTGACACCATACTAGTGACATGTTCTTAAAAAATGTCACAAAAAGAATATTTAGTGGCATTTTTTAGAAAAATGTCATAGAGCCACAAACATACAAGGCTCTAGTGGCATTTAATTAAAAAAAGTGTCACTTCACTACAACAAAAATGTCATTTGGCGACTAAACAATTTTAGTAGCCAAAAGTTTACAACTGGCGACTAAAACTAAGTTTGGTCGCTGATTATGTGGGTTTTAGTGACTAAAAAATTTTTAGTAGCCCAAAGTAAAGATTTTTGGCGACTAAAAAAATTTAGTAGCCAAAAGTCTGCAATTGACGACTAAAAATAAGTTTGGTTGCTGATTATATGGATTTTACCGACTAAAAAAAGTTTAGTAGCCAAAAGTAAAGCTTTTTTTTGTCAAAAAAAATTTTAGTAGTCAAAAGTCTACAATTGGCGACTAAAAAATAAGTTTAGTCGCCAAAAGTGGTCATTTTTAGCGCGAGAGAACTAAAATCCTAAGGCGGGAATAAAATTTTTTGGTGACCAAAATTTTGGTAGCTGAAAGTGCATCTTCAGCGACCAAATCCGATTTTGGTAGACAAAAGTTAAGTTTTTTAGCAACTAAAAAATAATTAGTAGGCAAAAGTATAGAATTGGCGACTAAAAAATATTTTTAGTCGCCAAAAGTGATTTTTTTTTTGGTAGTGAATAGTTTATTTTACATAAATTATGTTCAATAAAATAATTATGTTTATACATATACTTTTATATTAATATGGATGTATGTACTATATAAATAATATATGTTGCATATATAATCATGTGGTGGTATGGAGGTGTAGTGGGAAGAGTGTGGTGTATAAGGTTTATGGTGCGGAAAGTTGGCGGTTCGAGTTTCCACAAGAGCGGATCAAATTGTTCTACAACAAATTATCGTCATGAATGGCACTTGATAGCGTCACGAATCGTGCCTACCATGACATTAAAGTGTCACTGAAAGGTTTTAGTCTTGATGGTGTAATGACACTTACAAGTGTCACTAACTCTTTTTTTAATGGCGCTTGATAGTGCCACAAATAGTATTTACCCTGATATTAAAATGTCATTGAAAGTTTTCAGTCATGATGGTGCAGTAGTACTTGCAAGTATCTACCGTGGCACCGATAGAAGTGGCACTTGTTCAAAATGTCACAAGACCAAAAAATATCATTAGAAGAATAATTTTGTAACACTTTCAAATATTACTAAACCAAGAAAATGTTGCAGTGAAAATTGGACCTTGCAGTCCAAAAATTGAACATGGTACAAGTTAGATTCTAAATAAATAAATGTATAACTCATTATTTTTGTTTATAATATTAAAAAATTCATTTGTGTAAATCATTTTTTAATTTTATTTTCAAAAAATCCTAGGTCAACCGGGTAGCTTCCATCATCAATGCATCAAATATTCCACAAGGACATCCCACTTGATGCTTTGTTTTTTGATTTGCCAATGCCCTACTTTTTTTTGGTGTGTTGATTTATTTTTTGTGTGTTGATTTATACAAAAAGGTAAAAAAGAAAAGAAAATAGAGGACAAAAAATATATGATGTTCAGGCTTGGTTTGGGAAGTGAGTTGACTTTTTGATTTTTTAACTATTTTAGCCTGGGCTTAAAAGCTTGGTTTGGGAAGGGCTTTTTAACTTTTTGAATTTTTTGAATTTTTTTGTGAGAGAAGAATGTAATGATTATGGGTTAGATGTGATGTTTTGTTTGTTATGACTAAAATAGTCTATTTTGTTTTTTGTGGCTAAAATAGCCAAAAAAACCTGCAAACTCACTTCCCAAACACAGGTCAATTTGACAGCAACCTCTACACATGAATCTCAATCTTAACCGTTCATTTTGATGATACGGCCAGATCAATGGTTGTCTACCCAACAAATGATGTTCATTCGTTCTCTACAATGCACATATGCTACACATCACACCCAAAAAAAATTAAAATTCAAAAAAAAAAAGAAGTATTTTTCTCCGGTCCACGTAGTGGATTGAACTAGTCCAGTTCTAACTCGTAAGTCCAATTCTATTTTGATAATCCAATTTGATATTTTTTAAGTCAATGGGTAAATCATTCAAAAAAAAAAAAAAAAAAAAAAAAAAAAAAAAAAAAGGCAAAAAAGAAAAAGAAAACATTTGTCCAATAATTGTAACTCATGATTTAATCACATTGGTTACCAATATATATATATATATATATATAATTTTAAAAATAAATTATTTATATTTTTAAGTTAAATATGATTAAACAAGTAATTGTTACAATTATTGGAACAATCTAAACAATAAATGAATCAAATAATAAGAGCTTGTGATGATCCCATGCATCCAAATTGAATAATACTACAGATCACGAAAAAAATATCATGAAATGTTTCATGAAGATTCTTTATTTCTTGATTAATGTGTGGTGTTTTCTTGTATGTGCAATCTAACGGTGAAGAATCTTTCATAATTATTTTCATGATATTTCATAATCATTTTCATTTTGAGTTTCATTTGGATTTCATTTGGCACGCATGTAAGTCTCATTTGATCTCTATTTAAGGAGACCACGGTTCCTATAGCATACTCAACTAGGGTTTGTTAGTTTGCTTTGCCAATACTCTTCAAAACTCCCACATATAAACACTATCTTTCCATAATCCGATTATATATCCAATGGCTCTACCAGAAGTTCCCATCGATACCTTTACGAACACCGGAAAGGTGTCGTTTGTGAACACCAGAGATTCGGAGAGAGCTTTCGTGACGTTTTTAGCCGGAAATGGTGACTACGTGAAGGGAGTGGTAGGTTTGGCAAAGGGGTTGAGGAAGGTGAAGAGTGCTTACCCTCTCGTGGTGGCGATCTTGCCAGACGTGCCGGAGGACCACCGTGAGATGTTGAGGTCTCAGGGTTGCATTGTTCATGAGATTGAGCCAATCTACCCACCTCAAAACCATGTTCAGTTTGCTATGGCTTACTATGTCATCAACTACTCCAAACTTCGTATTTGGAATGTAAGTTAACTAGACATTAATCATACTACGATTATTTATATTTTTTTAAAAAAATTATTAAGTACGTTGTTTTTTGATGTTTCAAACTAATATATAGTAAAAAATTTTGAGGGTGAAATATGCTGACTCATTTTTGTAGTTAAGCTATTTTTATATTATGAATTTGAGTAAAAAAAATTTTAAAAATGAAAGAAACGGTAAGGTTGTGTTTTCATTTTTATTTACATTTACCTGACATTTTTATTTTATTATTTTTTTAAATTTTTATTTAAATACATGATCCAAATGCAAGCGTAAGTCACTTTGGATCATAAATTTTCAAAATGAATTTAGATAAGGCTGACATGACTATATTTTCCAAATTTCCACGTAACTTTGGATCATAGATTTCTAAAATGAATTTAGATGAAATTGACTCGACTTTGTTTTTCCAAATTTTTACATAAAATCAAGATCCTAATATAATTTAAATATATTTTGTGATTTCTCAATTATTAGGACTATCACATACACATACACATTATAAACTTAGTGGTGTTTTAGAAAGTTAGTAAAAAATTAATTTTTTGATTTTTTTTAATTTTTTAGTTTTTTTTTGTTAAAAAAATTGATTTTTTTGTGATTTTTTTTATATAAAAAAATAAAAAAACTGACTTTTTACTGCCTTTTCAAGACCCCCTTAGTCTAAGTGTATCTAATAATTGTTTATTTTAATAATTTATTTATTTATATTTTATTTTTTGGGAGCACTCGTAGGCACTTTTTGACTAAATTTAGTAAAAAATTAATTTTTTGATTTTTTTTAATTTTTTAGTTTTTTTTTGTTAAAAAAATTGATTTTTTTGTGATTTTTTTTATATAAAAAAATTAAAAAATAAAAAAACTGACTTTTTAATGCCTTTTCAAGACCCCCTTAGTCTAAGTGTATCTAATAATTGTTTATTTTAATCATTTATTTATTTATTTTTTATTTTTTGGGAGCACTCGTAAGCACTTTTTGACTAAGGCCTCGTTTGGTAAGAGGCTATTTTAGCCAATTAGCCAAAAAGTTACTAAATTAGCCAAAAAGCCAACAACCCATAACAAAAAGTCAAAGATTCTCTTTTCTCTCTACTTTTTGCACATCTTTTCGTAATTAGCCAAAAAGTCATCCCAAACATACAAGTTTTTTTTACCTACCTTTTTAGCCAAATAGCCAAAAAGTTACTAAATTAGCCTGTTCCCAAACGAGGCCTAACTGTACCTGCCATTTTCTTTCTCCTGCTTAAACTCAGGGCTAGTTTGGTATGTACTAAATAAGTTAAAAAGTTAAAAAGTTACTATCTTATTTAAGTCACATTATCTTATTTAAATCACATCACCTCTCTAACACATCAAATCAAACCCAACCCAAACCCAACTCAAACCCACCAATAAGTCAAAAAATACACTTTTTTAGGACATCCCAAACCAACCCTCAGTCATAGGCTAGGTTCCTATGTCGTTTCATGTCTAATCTTTATCATATGAGGTTGAAAAAATATATATTTATACATTGTGCCTGTTTGGTGCAGCTTAAAAGTTGCTTATTTCAGCTTTCAGCTTAATTTAAGCTATTTTGATGTGTTTAGTTTAGCTTAACAATGTAGCTTATAGCTTTTTGTAAGTCAGAAATCAGCTTATTCTTTGAGTGGGGCAGGAGATGCTTAATTTATAAGTCAGAAATCAGCTTATGTTCATAGTTATAAGCTATAAGCTGTTAAGGTATAAGCTATAAGTACTTTCCTACAGCTCTACCAAACAGGGCCATTGTATATTTAGTTATAAATTAAGAAATAAAAAAGCAAGATTAAATATACAAGATTCTGATTAAAATTTCTTTATCATATAAGATTGAAAACATATATCTATATATTGTATATTTAGCTATAAATTAAGAAATAAAAAAGCAAGATTAAATATACAAGACTCTGATTAAAATTTCTTTATCATATAAGGTTGAAAACATATATCTATATATTGCATATTTAGCTATAAATTAAGAAATAAAAAAGCAAAATTAAATATACAAGACTCTGATTAAAATAGAATTTGGAGAGGATGCATGAAAATAAGAAAAATCATGTGAGGCAAATAAACCATTTTAACTAGGTGCTAGAATTAAGTTTTTGGATTTTAAATTTATGAACAGAAAAGAAAATGAAAAAAATAAATAAAACAATTTGGATTTTTCTTTTTTCTTTTTTGCTTGAGTTATAACAATGGGCAGAAAATGAATAAGTATATGTAATTTTTTTTATATTATTTCTAAAAAATGATTATATATAAATAATTTCATTTCCTTTTTAATTTTTTCTTAATAAATCCTAAATCCAAATCCAAGACATATTGTAGATATCACATATTTGTGGTAATGAGATTAAATCTCAAAGGGTGAATTAAATGTTTAATATTTTTTTTTCAATTTTTTTTTAAAAAGAAAAAAAAAGGAAAAAGAAAAGACAACATTATATGTTGGACAAAGTAGATGACCTCTGACCATTAGTCACCTAGACAACTAATCCTGCTTACTTTTGAACCAGACAGCACCTACATTAAGCCCGTTTGGGATGATGGTTTGGGTTAAAATAATTATATAGGACAAAATATGTTATTTTAGTTGAATATTTAATTTATAATTATTTTATTTTTTATTTTATAAAAGTTAAAAAAGTTAAAAAAATCTTAAAAGTCTCGTTTGGAAACATACTATTTTAGTAACTTTTTGATTTTTTTAACTAAAATATGAGGTAAAAAAAACTAGCATGTTTGGAATGACTTTTTGATTTTTTACGAAAAATTATTCAAAAAGTAGAGAGAGAAGAAAATTTTTGACTTTTTAGTATAAGTTATAGAATTTTTGATTTTTTAGTAATTTTTTGACTTTCAAGTTAAAACTGTTGCATGTCAAACGAGATCTAAAATAATCAAAAAGTCAATCCATATCCTAAACAAACCTTAAGAAAGACATGATTTTTAGTTGGAAAAAAAAAAACAAATGGTAAAGCCTCCAAGTTTTTAGAAAGCTAGGCTCTGAAATCAAATTGAAACGTGTTATTAGATTCTGTGGGATTATTACTAAGTCCATATTGATGATTCAAATCGTTGAATATTTAAGACTCGTCGAGTATTTTATCCTTGTTAAAAATTATTTTGATTGGGATATCTTTGTGTTAAGGATGACTACGATTTTAAAAATAAATTGTTAATACAAATGTGATCTGATCAAGTGATTATTCAAATCTGATCAATGCGATTTTTTTATAAGAATAAAGTAGTCTTCGAATTTTACATATTAAATAGTCCGAATCATGGATGTGGGCTCCGTGATGGGTCCACGGAGGCCCAACAGGATGCTCTCAAACTGGAGTTATCCTTTTTAGAATGAGGTTTGAAATTCTAGTTTATAGAGAAGCGCCGAATATTAAATTGTATTAATATGATATATTAACTTGAGAACATTTTACTTTTGGAAAGAAAAAAAAATGGTATAGCAGGATTTAATGTGCATATATTTGATGTATTTTTACAGTTCAAAGAGTACAACAAGATGGTCTATCTCGATGCAGACATTCAAGTTTTTGAAAACATTGATCATCTATTTGACAAGCCTGGTGGGCACTTCTATGCTGTGATGGACTGTTTTTGCGAAAAGACATGGAGTTCCTCACCACAGTTCTCGATTGGATATTGTCAACAATGCCCGAATAAGGTGACGTGGCCGGCTGAGATGGGTTCACCCCCTCCCTTCTACTTCAATGCTGGCATGTTTGTGTTTGAACCTAACCAATTGACTTATGAAAGCCTTCTTCAGACTCTCCAAATCACTCCACCAACACCCTTTGCGGAACAAGTGAGTCTAATTATCCATTTATATGTTTTTCATTAACTGATTTTCTTTATTTTAATTCTAATTTTATTTTTCACAAGTTAGACCAATATTTAATTATGTCTATAGTTAGTACTTAATTGACACATAGTGAAAGTTCAATGTTTATTTGCATTTTATCCATCTAGGTTTGTATACCCTAAGGCAACATGCTTACAAGGACCTTAATATATGACCATCTAATTCTTGGTTGTGGTGGGCTCATTATAGGGCGTATTTTGTTTCATTAATCTTTAAGTTGTTATATGTAGATCATTTAAAAAAGTCAAATTAATTAAATAATTATAACTATATAATTTCATAATATTTATTTTGTAATAAATGAACGATAAATATGATTTGAAAAACATACTACAAAAATCTATTTTTTTTAATGGATTATACACAGAAACTAAGAAAATAGGTGAAATGGATTATTCATATAAACGTTACGATATTTCCATACCAAAAGACTAGTCCTTTTCACAAAGAGTGGAGATATTTTTAACTTTAAAAAAATAAATCTTGTATGTGGACGAAATTATCACTCAAAAAAATCTTTAAAAAACGGAAAGTGTGTTACAAAAATATCATAAAACACTCACAAAGATATAAATTACAAAAAAAAAAAAAAAAAAAACCCTTCAATCATATCAGTTTTGGGATCTCAACATGTCCCTATCTCCCAATCCCCTCCCACATACAAAAGCATGTGTAGTTAAATATATTCCATAAGGACTAGCCAAAATCCCTTTAGCTTTTGGCAACTAATCGTGGCACATAAAAGCAACCCCTAATGCATTTAAGGTAACCATGTATGATAGTGTCTATGATGGTTTCATTTTCAAATTATGATAGTGACAATGTTACTATAATAATGAAACATGATGAAGATAGTGTAACAAAGATAACAAACAATAACAAAGATAGTGTAACAAAGATAACAAATAATAACAAAGATAGTGTCTATACTTTTAGATATCAGTTTTTTAAAATTAATTGTTTGACTGTTACTACTCAAACTTTCGATGTTCCTTTTTATCATCAAACGAATGGCATATTCGTTTAAAAATCCTAATTAATTTTAGCATGATATTAGGAAGAGTTATCAGTTTATGAGCATCACATTATTAACACCATCATCATATGTAGAACTGTTGGAGGAGGACAATAAAAGAAAAAGTGAAAATTCCCATTTGACTTTGCTCATCAAAGCCCAAATAAAGAGATTCTATGTTTCTAATTTTTTTTTTGCTTTCATGATGTACAGGATTTCTTGAACATGTTTTTCCAAGACATTTACAAACCCATTCCTCTGAACTACAATCTGGTTTTGGCAATGTTATGGCGCCACCCTGAGAACGTTGAGCTTGAAAATGTTAAAGTAGTGCACTACTGTGCCGCTGTAAGTATATTATTCTCTCTTGAATTTGAATTTAATTCCATTCATACATTTTTTTGGGTCTAATTATGTATTTAATTTAAGTATCTATAGACTTATAAAAGTTGGTTTACTTTTCTCTTTTTTGAACTTTTTTCAAATTTTTTTAAGATGTGCCAAGTTTATCAAAGACAAAAATAAGCTTAAAAAATAACAACTTAAAAGTTGCAGTGGAAAGAACTTTAGGAAATTAATTTAGCTAATAACTATGTTGGATATTATTCTAATTGTTTCTGAAAATAGGGATCAAAGCCATGGAGGTACACGGGGAAAGAAGCTAACATGGACAGAGAGGACATCAAGATGTTGGTTGCGAAATGGTGGGATGTTTACAACGATGAGTCGCTTGATTACAAACCCGAACAAGATGCTTCTCCAGAGGGAGAGACCTTCTCAAGGTCCTCAATCATGGCTTCCATGCCCGAGCCTGCAATTTCCTTCATCCCTGCACCTTCTGCAGCTTAGAAACCATGAGAAATGTCTCAATGAGTACTCAAAATTGGTTGTAACCAATCCTTATTATGCTTGACTTTTTTAGGCTACTTAAAGCCTTTATGTTTTGGTGAGACCTCACAAGGTTCATCTAAACTCTTAATGTATCTGCTGTTTTGAATGTGTGTCAACCAGCAAAGAAATGAAACTAATATATGTGAAAAAACAAATAACAACTTTGTTGTATAATTTGTGCATCTTGGCTTAAATATGTATTAATTTCAATTTGGGGATTATGTGATTTCACAAACAAATAGTTCTCTACAGGCCCTAAATTCAATTATAGAATTAGACACAACTCTCTTATGAAAATCGTATAAATACACCTCTTTTGGATATGGTCTACAGAGGGTGAAAGTGTTATATTTTTATAGTTAAAGAAATCAAGATGTACGAAGGGGTAAAATGATATTTATTAATAGTTGAAGGATCTTGGTGTAAATAACCCTTGAATTAATTGACATGTTGATTTTTGGTAATATTAGGTGACAAAGGCTTAGCTGGTTGTTGTTAGCGAGTGCATATCCAGAGCATTATTTATTACTTGGCCCCAAGGTTTTAAAAAGCGGCCGCAATCGTTATGTAACGCCGTTACGTAACGGTTTTGGCGGTTACTGCCACCCGTTATGGCCACTTTTTCAATTTGGGGATTATGTGATTTCACAAACAAATAGTTCTCTACAGGCCCTAAATTCAATTATAGAATTAGACACAACTCTCTTATGAAAATCGTATAAATACACCTCTTTTGGATATGGTCTACAGAGGGTGAAAGTGTTATATTTTTATAGTTAAAGAAATCAAGATGTACGAAGGGGTAAAATGATATTTATTAATAGTTGAAGGATCTTGGTGTAAATAACCCTTGAATTAATTGACATGTTGATTTTTGGTAATATTAGGTGACAAAGGCTTAGCTGGTTGTTGTTAGCGAGTGCATATCCAGAGCATTATTTATTACTTGGCCCCAAGGTTTTAAAAAGCGGCCGCAACCGTTATGTAACGCCGTTACGTAACGGTTTTGGCGGTTACTGCCACCCGTTATGGCCGCTTTTGTAGTGTGATTGAGATTCACAGGTGTGTCGACCGTAGCAGCTGCCGTAGCGGTCGTAAAGGTGCCATAACAGTCGTAACGGCCTGTTACACACCGTTACGTAACAGTTCCAAACTGTTTCTTTCGAAAAAACACACAAAAAAAAGCTGAAAATGGGGGAAGAGGGATAGAGAGAAGAGGGAAGATAGAGAAAATGGAGGAGCAAAAGATAGAGAGAGGGAGAAAAGACAAGATGAAGAACATGCTATTGATTTGTTGAAACTGTAAGACCTATGCTATTCTGTTCAACTACTATCACTAAACCATTTTGTTAGTGTGTGTCTATCTATATATTGTTTGAAAATAATAATAATAATAAGTGTGATCATTATCTATTTGGCTTGGTTAAAATATGTATATATATATATATATATATATATTTAGGCTCTTATTTATCCTCTTACTTTTGTCATTGTTTATCTTATATATAATTGTTAGTGATTGATTTTTTGTATAATATAAAGTCATTAATTATTAAAATAAAATATAAAAGCTCAGTTTATAGTGATTTAAAAATATGAAATATATTGGATCATACTTAAAAATTTACAAAAATTGGTCAATATTTATTTTTAACCAAATAAATATGATCATGGAAAAAAAATATGCGTATCGGTAAGTTTTTTTCAAATTGTGTAAAAAATAAAAAAATTCACGGTTCCGGTTACCGCAACCGTTACACTACGGCCTTTACACCCCGCAACCGCAACCGCATCACCGCCACCGTTACGGCGACCGCAATCGCTTTTTAGAACCTTGCTTGGCCCTTATGTTCTATTCAATTAATTGACAGAAAAAGCAGAGAAAATGTTTTTTTTTATTTATTATAGAATTTTTAACCTCTTTTAACCCATCCGAGAAGTTAATTTCCAACCTGAACTTTGATCAATTTTCTAGAGTGATTAACTTGGAGATTATGAAAATGTTTAATCATGATAGGCACATTGTAGAAAAATATGCCTTCAAAAAATATCCCACCTTGAACTAAGGGGTTAGCCTAGTAGATAAGGTGTTTTCGTAAAAAATGTAATATCTGAATTCGAATCTTACTGATACACTATATTATTTTACATTCCGCTATTGCCTTCCTCATAATCAAATCCTTTGTCCTATTCTTCAGTGTTCCTTTGTCCCAAGCTCCATTTCTATTATAATATTGGAATTAGAAAGATAAATTTTAGAGTAAAGATGGTGTTTGGGACACAAGGACAGAGAAGAGTGAGATAGGATTAGAGTTAAATCACATAATATAGATAGGGTGTTTAGGGCAGAAGGATAGAGAAGAGCAGAATAAAAGATTCCTGCCCCTAAATCTCACACATCTTTACTCATAAAAGACATCAAAATTTAATACAAAGATGTTATACCGCAAAATTTTTACATGATCCAACGTTATTTTCTAATTGCAACTTGTAATTTGATGATGTAAACATTGTTTATTAGGTTCTTTTTTGTTCCTCTTGCTACTAATTTCAACATTTTTATGTCATCATCATCAACCAGTTCAAAGAAGAAACAGATATCATATATCATTTCACTTGATTCAACAAAAAAGAAAAAAAAAGAAGAATACTGAACTTGCCTTTCAAGTAAACAAAAATAAGAAATTGAAATTTTCTGCAAATTAAATGAAATAAGAATTTGAAACCACAAATAAATAACTTATAACCTCTCAGGTATTATCAAGATGAAAGTAGATGGCGGGTCAACTTGCTCGCTTACCTCAAATCCCAAGACTGAAGATTCTCATATGATTCAATGAGTGCGAGTATTTTGGAACAAAAACAGAGAATTTTAAAAACGAGAAAAAGAGAGGGGGCTTAATGTTGTATCATTCCACCGCTACGGACAACACATAAATTCAAGAAAGTTGAACACCAATATGAAACACAATCATAACATAAAATTTGTCAAGCTAATGAGTTGCCTTGATGCAAGAAAGAACCACAATATACACACAGAGGGTTGAATAGTATATCAGAACTAGCATACAAAATTACATTATTAGGATTCATTTAACATACTAAACAATTTAGAAAGCAGCCTAAAATTACAAATGGTTACATTACACCTCTGTTTCCACAAAAATGATTATACCTCAACTGCAAATTCACCGAAATGCGTACAAGAAACTCGAGAAAATTTATGAATTAATCACAAGTTGGTCAATTCAGAAGCAGAGGCAAACTTCTATGAAATCGTTTTGCATTCTTTCTGCGCAAGGCCCATCTTTGTTTAATATCAAGTATTTCATCCACGGGACATTCATCGGATACTCCAATCTCTCCTGTAGAATTTTTCGCATCAGAATCTCCCCGAATTCTAGCAGTTTCAACGAGCAAATCGCTTATCAACATCTCAGTGGTCTTTGAAGTTATTCCTCTAAGGTACCAGGAAATGGGAGGGGGCGGTACGAGGGCTGGTTGGATGATTTGTTCTAAGCTAACCTTTGATCCAACCCTTCCTTTCCCTCCCGTACATGTAACGTAGTCTGCCAAAGTTTCAGGTATAAAGGGGTGACATAATTTTTCATCTACGAGTAAAGGTTCCACTTTCCAGCAGCCTTCGAATCTTTTCATAAACCCCGTTTTCACTTGCTTGAATTTCATCTGACAAACATGGGCAACGGACGGGTACAGAAAACATTAAGCAACTACTTAGTAAAGAAATAAACCAGTAAGCAAACAAAATCCTAGCATAAGTATAATTCCTAATAAAACAGTAAAAACTCAATAAATATAAAATAACGTCAAAACAAATCATTAAATCCCTTATTTTAAATTTTACTTCATTCAACACCTTTCATTCTCCATCAGTGCCAGCATTTGTAAAATGGGGGGATGCAGCGTTTTTTTCAAGAAAGTTCTCTTTAAATTGCTCCAAACATTTGTCCTTTAGTAAATGCAATTATAAATTTAATATTTTTATACCAGAGAACCTAAATGTATGATTTGCATCAGCTGTGTATGCAACTTGGGTCAGGATCATTCAGGTTGGTGCCAAATTAGAAAAAAGAATAATAAAATTAAAACCAAACCTATTGGATCTCGCTGTTTGGTTTCATTTTCAGAATCTGTTTTTCAAAAAACACTAAAAACTAATTTGGTAAAAAAAATAATGAAAATTTCAAAAACACTGATCTTTTTCATATTGTTTTCCTTTTTTGTGCAAAATAGTTTTTGAAAATTCAAAAACATCTTTTTGGAGTTTATTTTCACAAAACCAGTGTGTTTTCACCAAATATAGTTCGTCATATTTTATTTTTTTTCTTCCAAGTACAATGCAAATTCATTGTTTTGGAATGAAGGTGACTATATTTAGGATGACGTGTTAGAAAACATTAATGATTGAATTGAAAAGAACAATAAGTCCTTACTGTGTGATCTTCTCTGTTCTGATCTACTAAAACATGAACCGAAATGGTCCCTGACCACCAAAGGAACCTCCATAGAGCTGCTTGCTCCAGTTCAACCACCTGCCTTGAACCTTCATCAACCAAGACCCTTCTTGATATTACTTCCTGACAAAGATATCAATATTGTCAAATCACAAACGGAAAATAATGCAATGCTAGAACTCAATGTATAGGTGGGTGTATTTTTATTTTTTTAACTTTCCTCCCCCTTTCTTTTCATATATTTTACTTTAACCCCAAATTAGCAGCCTAAAATTAAAAAAAAGAAACTCACAAAAGTGTCCTGAGGCGTGTCCAAGCATGGGACACACGTGTCCCTACATTGTCTTGCAAAAAATAATAATGAAGAAATTGACATGTCATGTTGCACGTTTGGCATGCGTGTCCCTAGAGTGTCAATGTCCCATATGCATCTAACATGGACACGGCACCCATTTTCAAGTATCGGTGCTTCATAGCTCGATATCTTAGAGACAGAGAGAGATGTGACATCGATAAGAAGCAACATATCTAAATACATTAGCTTCATCTTTTTTCGAAAAATGAAGTGATACTAGCTACTGGACAAGCTGAAATCAATAATCACACGAAAGTTAATCACTGATTTTACCTTAATATTCTTGAAGACCCTCTTATTATCGGGGTCTGTTACAATATTGTATACTGCATCTGGGGGCAGGCCAACATTGACTTCCACATTTAGGTTGCAAAGAGAACCTTTTGGCACTGTTACCTGCAAGTAGTACATACATAACTTTATGCACAACAAAACTTGGGTTGACTTCATGCCTTTATCAATATTTAACTTTATTTGATAATTTTAGTAATAGAATGCAACAAGCTAAACTTTTATGGTGACAACTGTACTTGAATTTCAATGGTCATTTTTAATTGGTTTATCAAAAGATGTTTAAAAACTACAATGATCTTATTGGATCAAATAAGTCATATTAGTTCCAACTTGAACATGCTTCATGTGGAAGGAATAAATTAGAGCTAGGTCTATGTGCGGACAAATGAATATGGAAAAGTGTAGTGATCAACTCGAGACGTGTGACTGTTTGAGGATTCGATTGACTTAGCAAACTGGGAGGTTAGAGAATGTTCGTGTTTCTTTCGGCTTCTATTTTAAGCAGACACACTTTCAATATGGGGCTGTTTTAAATAAGCTGAAAAAAGCTAAATATTTTGGAAATAGGGAAGTAGTGCTTTTAACTTCTACTTCCTGATTATCAACTTCTAGACTCAAGAAAAGCTGCACCAAACATGCCCTATATCTATAGGGTTATAGCAACTTTGAACCAGTCTAATCATCAGTGCTACATATGTAGTAAAGTCTCTCAAAGTACACCATATTTCCTGCTAACTCTTCTATACCTTTATCTCCGGGGAGTGATCGACCCAAGTGGGATTTTCTTTCCAAACTTGCAATTGCTTCTCTAGATCGACCTCCAAGGCATTAGATGATCCTTTATCCTTCCCTAGGAGAGAGGTTGCCGACTTCCATACATCATTATTTCCTGATCTTTTCAAATGTGACTGACAATAGAAAAAGTATTTTTATTCAGTACTAAAATGAGAATGCATTAATTAATTGGAGGCTTCATAAGAGACAGCTGACCTTAAGAGACTTTTGAAGTTTCTCACGGAGCTGCACAAGAAAACTAGGCATTGCGGGACCGATCCGACTAGAAGGTTCATTCCTGTCTTTCCTTTGGATATGTATGTCTATTTTATTCACTTTTATCTCACCCATTGAAACCTGAATTAAGTTTTAAAAAAAAAAACAATGATGCAGCAGGTGCAAATTTGCAATTGTTAATTTTATACGCTCAACACAATTTCTATCGTATTAGCAGTTTTGTACTACCAATTACTAAGTTAGACTGATTTTTATAGAATGCTGCAATTTATTTAACCAGTGTAGTTGCAGGAAATTCCCTGAGGCGGCGTTTGGATTTTGGTTTTGTTGAGGGAAAAGATGTTCACTTTTTCCTTCCATTTTCTTTTCCCTCTCCCCCACAAATATGCAATCCAAACACAACAAAATAATATGAAAGTTTCAATCAAGACACCTTGACCACATAAATTCTATTATTTAGCAGATTTTCTTCAAGCTACTAGGCCAATGATTTATATTAACACAAGCAGCATACTAATTACAAAGAAAAAATTAACTCCAATATAACCATGGAATTCCCATAGCAAGTAATGTCTTGAACCAGTCTATCAGGGAATCTCCAATCCTTGACTGAAACCTTTATCAAATTTAAATTTAGGTAAAAGATCACTCAAAACACCCTCCACTCCATGACCAAAACATATACAAAATTGAGTTTTATTCAAATTTTTACCCAAATCAAAGGAGGTTATTCAAATGTTTAATAAAAAATTTCAAGACTATTTTGTGGCTCTCAAATTTACCATTCTGTGATTAGTAAAGCTTTTAGTCAAATTTACACTTAAATATGAGTTTGTCAATTACAAAAGCAACCATAAAATCAAAATGCCATAGAAACCCACCCACCAATATAAAAACCCAAATCACAATAGTAAGAAAATTCAATACAGTATCCGAATCCAACCTCAATTAACTATTAATAAGCATAACCCAGTTCAATCCAAGCTCTGAATTTCCTAAAAACTGTTAATTAACTACAAAGAAGGCTTACCCTGAAGTTAGCTCACCATTAAGCAGTACTGTTTTTGAGTTACAAATAAAATGAAACAAGAACAGGAAGATAAGACAGAGGTGCTGAATCTCAAGGATTGTTAGCAAGAAATTTACATACCAAAAACCCAGAAAAAAACCAATAAAATAGAAAATGGAAAATAGAAAAGAATTACAGATAGATCTGCAGATAAACTGTTTGACCAATTGTCTAGAAGAGAGATTCAGATAGAAAGAGTACTCACCAGAGGGATTTTGGGAGAAGAATATTCCTACCCACTTGAGATTGCGATGCGAATAACCCAAAACTTTGTTCAATTATCAATGGAAAATGATCCTTTATATATTTATTTATATATAAATCTCTGTGTTTCCATATACATGGGGGAGTCAATGGGGGTGTTGAGAGTTCCTTTTTTGCTTCTTCAAAGTTCGGTAGAGAGGCAACCATAGCACGTGATTCATTCTTCCACGCACGTGTATTTTGTTCCCAGCTCACGGAATTTTATTTTATTTTAGGGCAAATTACAAACACCCTCGAGGTTTGGTAAAAATATAGATTCGCCCCTGAGGTTTGAGAAATTACAAATTATTCTTGAGGGTCAAATTTTCATAACAAATTAGGAAAAATTAGGGGAGAATCTTTATAAAAATAAAAACCTCAGGAGGTAATTTGTTATGAAAATATAAATCTTAGTTTGCTTCTTCAAAGTTCGGTAGAGAGGCAACCATAGCACGTGATTCATTCTTCCACGCACGTGTATTTTGTTCCCAGCTCACGGAATTTTATTTTATTTTAGGGCAAATTACAAACACCCCTCGAGATTTGGTAAAAATATAGATTCGCCCCTGAGGTTTGAGAAATTACAAATTATTCTTGAGGGTCAAATTTTCATAACAAATTAAGAAAAATTAGGGAAGAATCTTTATGAAAATAAAAACCTCAGGAGGTAATTTGTTATGAAAATATAAATCTTAGGGATGAAATGTAATTTCTCAAACTTCAAAGAGAAATTTATATTTTCATCAAATCTGAGAGGGGTGTTTGTAATTTGCCCTTTATTTTATTTTCAAGATAATTGCTACTGTGATAGTAATTATATTACAACGTAAGTCGCCTCTTTATAACTTCAAATTTGAAATTTTATTCATTTTAATACTTAAATACCCACCGTATGACCGCTTGAATAATTACTTGAGGTGTGGCCGAGTAATGTAAATATCTTTAGATTTTACCATTGTTTCAAGTAAATTTTTATTTTTATTTTTATTTTTTTATTTTTTAATTTTTAACTATATGTAAGGAGAATTTGTAAAATTATTAAAGACGTGCAAATCAAACAATATTTTTTTTTAAAAAAAATTATACAAAGAGATCAATCTCTTCTGTCAGTTGTATGAAATTTATGTGGGAAGGCTTTTCTCAAGAAGTATATAGCCTCCGTTTGGGTAGTGGGTTGTCTTTTTGGCTTTTTAGTTTTTTTGACTATTTTAGTCTGGGCTAAAAAGCTTGGTTTGGGAAGGACTTTTTGACTTTTTTGACTTTTTTTGTGAGAGAAGAGTGTGATCATTATGGGTTGGATGTGATGTTTTGTTTTTTGTGGCTAAAATAGCCTTTTTTGTCTTTTGTAGTTAAAATAGCCAAAAAAAGCTCACTTTAATTCTTCCCAAACGGACCCATAGTGGGTATTTGAGAAGTGGATTTTTTTGTAAATTTTTTTAGTTATAGGATATTATTGGAAAATTTTTTTTTATGTTTGGAAAGATAGTTGGATTTTTGTAGTTGAATGTGATATTTGTGAGAGAAAAATGAAATGATTATAGGATTTGATGTGATATTTTGTTTGGATTTGTTTTTTTTAGTTTTGTAAAACATTTGTCTTGTAATGAAAAAAAACCAAAAAAAACCCAAAAATCAAGTTCCCAAACGCATAACTCAAAATTATTTTTTAAAGATAACATTTCAAAATCATGATTCTAAAGATAACATTTCAAAATCAATTTTTAAAATTTATAACCAAACACATAACTCAAAATTACTCAAAACTCAATTCAAAAATTAATTTCAAAACTCATAACCAAACACACAACTCAAAACTCAATTCAAAACTTTTTTTAAAACTCAAAACCAAACTCTTTTCAAAACTCTATTTTAAAAGAAAAAATTCAAAAAAATATTTTTTATTTTATTTTTTAAAATTATTTTTAAAATCATAATTTGAGGGTAGAGTCGTGCTTTGAGTTAGGAGTTTTGAATTGAGTTTTGAAGAGAGAAAATTTGTTTGGTTATGAGTTTTGAAAAGAGTTTTGAGTTGTATTTTGAAATTTTTTAGATTTATTTTTTTAAAATATTTAAAAAATTTCTTAATTTTATTTTTTTAGGGTAAATATTTTATATTTTAAATATTTATTTATTTATTTTAATGTGCAATATATTTCATAAATTTATTTTTATTTTAAATGTATAATTTTTATTTTAAATATTTTATTTTATAAATATATTTTTAAATATTTTAATTTTTTTGTTATGTGTTGGTTATGATTTGAGTATAAAGTTTTGAAAATAGTGTGGAGTTTCAAGTTATGTGTTTGGTTATGAGTTTTAAAAATAATTTTTGAATTGAATTTTGAGTTATGTGTTTTGTTACGATTTGAGTGTAGTTGTGTTTTGGGTTTAAAATAATAAAATTAAATTATTTACAAAATAAAATAAAATATTTAAATAAAAATTATATATTTAAAATAAAAACAAAATTTTCTTAAACATTTTTTAATATTTTAAAAAATAAATCCAAAAAATGCAAAATACAACTCAAAATTCTAAATTCAAAACTCTTTTTAAAACTCATAATCAAACAAATTTTCTCTTTTTAAAACTTAACTTACAATTCTACACTCAAATCACAATTCCAAAAAGAGAATCACAAACCGAAAACTAAACCAAACTCAACCTTAATTTTCTACTTGTGTTCACTTACGGGAAAATTTTTTTTTTTTTTTATTCACTTTGCTTGGTTTGAATTTTCGAAAAACACTTTTTAGAAAATCTTACTTTCTTATTTTTCATATTTTTTTTATTTTTACTGAATTTCTTTAATATTTTAAGTAATTTTTAAAAATTTTTAGACACACATAACATAAATACACTTAAAAAGTATAATTTTGTGAAAAAAATCTTTAAAAAATTTACTAAATATCAAAAATACAAAAAAAATTACGAAAATTAAATACATTTTTCGTATTTTTGTGTATTTATTAATTTTTTGAAATATTTTTTCACAAATATTTTACTTTTTAGACACATCTAAGTAAGATGCATCTAAAAAAATAAAAAGAATGCTTAAAATTTTAAAACTATTCACTAAAAATAAAAAAAACACAAAAAATAAAAAACTTAATTTTTCAAACAGATTAATTTTCTATAAAATCTTTTGTTTTTTGTGAGATCAGTTTTGAGAGAAAATATATTCCAATAAGACAATTGAAGATGTGATGATGATATCAACGGCTATGTTTGGCTTGAAGGTTTGGTTTGGCTTGGTTGAGACTATTTTAGTCACAAAAAGATAAAATAGATTTTTTAATCCAATATGACAAAATGGGATTTGGGGTCACTGCTGTGGTAAATACACATCAGTGGCTGTTGTGGTTCATTTTGTGGTGCATTATGGGATTATTTTTATGATTTGAACCGTTCATTTTGTAAGGTTTGTTGAGTACTTCAAGCCTACCAAAAATCATATTAATCGGATACCAATAACTATATGATTGATAACCAAAAAAACAAACAAGAAATTTTTCTTTTAAAAAATAGTATAAAAATATGCAATTCGATCATATAGTTGTTGATATCCCATTAATATGATTTTTGGTAGGCTTGAAGTACTTAACAAATCCTACAAAATGAACGGTTCAGATCATAAAAATAAACCCACAATGCATCACAAAATGAACCACAGCAGTCACTGCTGTGTATTTACCACAGCAGTGACCCATAATCCGACAAAATGTCACATCCAAATTATAATTATTTTATTTTTTTTCTCACAAAAATCAAAAAATTAAAAAATCTATCCCAAACGAAATTTTTTAACACCAAACTAAAATAACTAAAAAATTAAAAAACTAAAAAAATTAAACCACATCCCAAACAAGAGCGTAATAAATATTCAATGTAACAACAGTAATATTACAAACTAATAATAAAACTTTGAAGGTTGATGAATCTCAAATGTTCAAATAATTATGAGTTGGGTGAAAAATGTGTGTTCGGATCCTCTCCAGTCTCTCTCTCCAGCTGTTCCACCGAGCGATGGCTTACATAGAGACACGTCACCTATGAAGAAATAAACGGCTCAGATTTATTTCTCTGAACAAAAAAAAATACACATCCACTAACACACACTCACAGCACACACACACTCCCTCTCCGGCCCTTTCTCACTGGCACACACATTCACAGCGCGCACACACTCTCTCTCTCTCTCTCTCTCATTTCCAACAAAATATTAAATTACACATCACTCTCACATTCTCTCTTTCTCTCTCTCTTCTAATTAAAAAATTTAAAAAATTATTTTAATCTTTTTAATTTTATTTTCATAATATGTATAATTTTTAATATAAAAATTTAATTTTATAAAATTAAAATATCATTGAAAATATACCTTTAAAATGAGACTAATATTAAATATATTCAATAAAAAATTAAAATAAATAAAAAGTAATTACTATGTTTAGTTACGTTTCGAAATTATTATTTTTTAAATATAAAGATTAATTTGATGAAATAAACACACAAAAATCATATATTTTTGAAATTCTCAAAAACAGTCTTCATTGCGAAAAAAAAATCAAATGAAAATAATGACTTTTAATTTAATTTTATTAACCAAACGAGTTTATAATTTTTTTTAAAGGAAATAAAAAAAAAAATCTATATTTGATTTACACCTGTGCATAGATTGAATTTATGTTTAAAAAAAAAAATTTACATCTATGCGCAAAAGTCATTAATATTTTCATATATTTTTTTTTGGAATGAAAATTATTTTTATATTTTAAAAATAATACTTTGAAAGCATAACTAAACATAGTAATTACTTTTTATTTATTTTAAATTTTTATTAAATATATTTAATATTAGTCTTATTTTAAAAGTATATTTTCAATGATATTAATATTATAAAATTAAAATTTTATATTAAAAATTATATATATATTATGAAAATAAAATGAAAAAGATTAAAATAATTTTTTTAATTTTTTTATTAGAAATGAGAGAGAGAGAAAGAGAGAGAGAGAGGGGGGAGAGAGAGTGGCATGTGACCCGTGACGTGTGCGTGAGTGAGGGACAGAGAGGAGTGTGAGGAAAAGGGAATGATTCATTGTGGGTGTATTTTGAAATTTTTTTATTTAAAAAAATAAATTTGAACTGTTTATTTCTTTATCGGTGACATAACTCTATTTGAGTTGTTGCCCGGAAGAACAGTCGAAGAGAGAGGCCGGAGAGGATCCGGACTCAAAAAATGTGATATATCAATTAGAACAATGCTTGTGTCCATAATCCATAATAAATAAAAAACATAAATAAATAAATAAAAATTGTGAGTTCAATACCTAGAAGATAGGTGAGAATATTTTGATTTCACTGAACTGAAGAATTTAAAAAATCTCAATCCTCAGTCAAAAAATAAAAAAGGTAGGCGTCATTTTCCTCTTCTCTAAACAAAAACATCAAAAATAAATAAAAATTCATACTCAGAGAACATGTAAGAATATAAATTTTGAATTCCAGAATTTAAAATTTTAGTAAATTCGAAAAATTATTGTCATCTGTCATCTCTTTTTTTCATGAGAAATACAAAGAGAACGAGTAGTTATTTTTTAAGTTATAAGCTTTTGATATTAAATGGGGGAATAGAATAACTCCAAATCCCAAATTCATCAAAATCTAAAATGGATTCAGCTAATGAAAGATACATAATTGTAAGCTTCATATAACAATAGTTATTTGAAGATCTAGATCAAAGTTCCAACCATGGATGTGAACACGTCTTCACATCCATTCACATTTCACTTCCCAAATACTTCTACTTCTTGACATCTCCACACAAAATGCACAACAAACTTTTATTTAGCATAGGATAGCACACTAGACACCTCCATCCACATACATATATATATATATATATAGGTATATAGCTATGCTTTCTCATGTTTTGCGGCAGATGCCTCCCTCACAAGTCCATCCCTCCTTCACCTTTCCCAGTGCTCCTCCACAATTCTCTTTTGGGTCATCTTTCTTGAGTGCACACTTGGGGTGAAGATCGAAGTCACACACCTTGCAATAAAATGACCAGCCATGCCCCATCTCCCTACACCCATTGCAAACATAACTATTAGAATAATGTATAGAGAGGTAGAATAGATTGTATTTATTCATATGGTTAGGGGCTCCTTATATAGGAGACGATTTACAAATTGTAATGATGAAAATCTAAAGCACTAATATTGCATTATACATAAAGTCTAAACCACTAACATAAAGCTAAAGCACTAACATTACACTATACATAAAGTCTAAACCACTAACATAAAGCTAACACACTAACAGCCCCCCTCAAACTCAAGGAGAATAGGAACTAACCAACTTGAGTTTGGAGAGAGTAATAAAACAGGAAAATAAGCGGACAAATAAAATTAAAAATGGGATAGGAGACACTGTATGGTCGTGTCAGACCGATGTAGAAGACAGTTTATGGGGTCATGTCGGACCGATGTAGAAGACAGTTTACGGGGTCATGTCGGACCGGTGTAGAAAACAATTTACGGGGTCATGTCGGACCGTTGTAGCAGACAGTTTACAGGGTCATGTCGGACCGTTGTAGAAGCTGACCGGAATCAATGTCGGGACAGTTTACGGGGTCATGTCGGACCGTTGTAGAAAATTGTGGTGGTGCGCCTCTGGTTTTGCTCCGTTGAACTTTCCGATGCGGTCGGTGGAGCAAAAAATGGCGGTGCAAACTGATATTGAGGCAAATCAGTATACTTTGAAGTCATGTGTGGAGACCATGACGGCGGTCACAAACCTGTCGCACCGGCTGCAGAGTAGGACAAATGAGGTGCAGCAGTTAAACGCCCAACTGGCTCTGCTCCAGCGCATGTATAAGGATGCGCGAGCAGAGATAAGTGTGCTAAAGACGGAAAATGAGGAACTGAAGCGGAAGGCCACCGTTATGTTCCGATTTGGAGGTCCACCATATGCTGTAGTGGAGGAGCAGAGAGTAGTGATCATGCCCAGTGGAGTGGGAAATACGGAGGCAACACCAGCAAGGGCCGCCCAGGACGGAGGCAAGAAGAAGAAACCGGCGGCAGAGTAGAGAAGGGATGTCGGGGTGTGGCCGTCTGCAGAAAAGAAAACAAAGCCGTTTTGTTTTTTTTTGTTTTGTTTTTTTTTTGGTGTAGAATGGTGAGCGGGGTGAATCCCTGATATGAATAAAACAAGTGTGTTGTGCAAACTCGAATGGGAGGTGTGGTAATGCAGAAAAAGCAACTGGAATGAATGTAGTTTTTTTTTGTGGTGAAAATAATAATAATAATAATAATAATAATAAATAAATAAAATGAAATGTTGGAAGCCAGTGGAATCAATGAAGGCTAGTATAATATAGTTGAGTGGGGAAAAGAAGGATGGGTATGTTGATTATATAAGAAAATAAAAGTGGGGAATGGAGGAAATGAGTGGAAAGAAAAGTTTAGTGGAAATAGGGTGTTGGGTATATGTTGGTGGCCACGTCTTTAGCAGAGCAAAGACGTTGGGAAAAAGTGAAAGAAAAGTTGAAAATATGAGAGGAGAGGGGACAAACCCATGTGAGCATGCCATGCCACGGCCTATATAAATATAGAAAATTAAAGATAGTTGAAGAGAGTGGGAACAGGCTGATGATGTAAAGTAAAAACATAAAATAAACTAAATGTTAAAGTGGGGTAGTGGGGAACCGAGTGGTGTTTGGGAAGAGTATGGGAAAGAGGGTGATTAAAGAAAACAAGAGTACCCACCCAGATTAAAGAAAACAAGTTTCTTCTTCCCTACCACTGAGTCCACTCCTTATTCTTCTTCCGTTCCTTGTTTGCTTCTCAGCTGCAACAGAAGCATCTTTTAGGCCTGGGTTTCTCTACACCAGAAACAGAGGAAGGTGTACCCCCCAGTTTTGGAGCAGCAGGAGAGAAGCATGGCCTATGATGGTGCCAGAGGGATCGACGGTGTCGAAGGTGTTTGGGTCGAGAGCGTTCGAGCGGTATAGATACGATCTCACTCTGTTGGAGGCCACGACGAGAAACGACGACGTTGAGAACGTGTTCGCGAGTCTTGTGAAGGAATCGAGTGCTGCTCTGCTCAACTCGTATGCCAGAAAGGGCTTTCCTTACTCGGCATGGGAGGTCAAGACTCTGCTCATTCAAGCTTTGGTCTCTGAAAAAGCTGCTGCTATTCAATCCCAGCGTTTCTCTTTGGCCAATCAGGCTTGTGATTAGCCATGAAAATGTTGTACTTGGCCTTTTTTTTGTGTGTTTGCTGGCCTAGAAAATGACATATCACAACTTTGTTATAGGGGTTTTCTAGTGTTGGTGATTTTGGTATGTTGGTTTGGTAACTATGGATGTTCTAATTGTGATGCTATCAAGTTCTGTCGAAGCTGGACATACATAGAAGAGTGTCAACACCCAGAGGCACTTGATTCATTTGTAGTGCTAAGGAGTGTTGTAATCTGCATTTTCCCAGATGGGTTTTACAATGGAGGTGCCCGACAATACGTGGTAGAAGCAGCACAAATCTTGGCATTGAGAGAAGCAAGATGATGGTGCATGGGTTCCATGCCCATGGCTAAGCCGGAGATCACGGAGTAACCAGTAATGTTGGTGTGCAGAAGCAAGATGATGGTGCATGGTCTTGAGACATGCCCAGTAGTGAACTCAAGCGTCAATATTGTAGAGCTGTTGTCAATACGACTGTCAACAAGTTCAAAAGGAGAATAGGTTGAGGCCCGGCGGACGGTCAAGGCAAGGTTGGCACCCACCGGAAGACGAAGAACACCAAGAGTTTAACCTATTGCTCTGATACCATATTAGAATAATGTATAGAGAGGTAGAATAGATTGTATTTATTCATATGGTTAGGGGCTCCTTATATAGGAGACGATTTACAAATTGTAATGATGAAAATCTAAAGCACTAATATTGCATTATACATAAAGTCTAAACCACTAACATAAAGCTAAAGCACTAACATTACACTATACATAAAGTCTAAACCACTAACATAAAGCTAACACACTAACAATAACCACTACGACGGATTCGTGTGAGCTCATGTTCCGCCTGGAGTTCGTGTTTCACTTTCTCAGGCCACCCTTTTGTCATTTCCTCCATCTGTTCATCCAATTTCTTCAAGTGCTCTTCGGTGAAGGGATAGGCATCTGCACCGTGGGCTTGCAACAGCAGCCTGGCTTCTGTAGTGAGTGTTCGACCACTAGGTCCAATAGCAACAAGTGCAGGAATTCCTCTGATTTTGAACCTACGTTGGAGGGATGCCTTTCGCTCATCATCTCAAGGGAGGGCTAGCCACAACATGCTTGAAAAGAAGTCATCAAAGGAGGGTTGATCGCGATCACTTGAGATGAAAATTATTTCGAATGCATTGTCCTTGGCCTTAATCTCGTCGTATATTGAGATTAACTTCGGTAGAAAAGCACGGCATGGTCTGCACCATTGGAGTCCGGATCCCCTCCGTGCAATTTCTCCTTCATCTCCTTCTTGCAACGGCCATAAAAAAAATAAAAAATAAAAAATAAAAATAAAGAAATTGAAATTTCACTTTATTCCCACCCGTTGCTATAGTCATACATTCAAGCACAATCGCTCTCACTTTCACTCAGTCTCGCACTCACCCGTCCTCCTCCACTGAAGCCACCCTCACCAGCGACAAGTCCCCCAGACGGCACCGGCGACCCGACGGCGACCCACTCCAGTCTTAATATTCTTTGCTTTGTGAACCATAGCTCCACCGCGACCACCATCGGCTGAGCGAAGAAATTTCTTGATAAGAACGTGGGTTCTGAGGCCATAGAGGAACTAGGTTTGTATTTGTAACTCTGAAATTAAGAAGTTAGGGTTGTGTGATTGAAATTGAGAAAATAGATTTGAAATTTCAAAATTAGGGCTTTGATTTAGGATTCGAACAGTGAAAAATTAGGGCTTTCAGAGTGGGTGTGATTTTGTGGGTTTTGGATGAATTAGTTCAACAAAATGATTAATTTTCTACTTGATTTTGTAAAGAATTGTTGTAGAGTTCCTGTGAAATTATATCCATGACACTAGTTTGAGCTTAAGTTTTCAAATTATAGTTGAAAAACTAATTATAGTTGAACTTAAGTTTTGTGTGTGAAATTAGTTTGTTTTGTGTTTGAAATGATAGTTGAACTAATTATCGATGACAGTAGTTTGTTCTGTGTTTGAAATTATATAATTGCTCTCTAGTACTATCTCTAAGATCCATTTTCCTTAAAGCCAAAAACAACTTAAGTTCTTTTTGTTTACATACTAGAAGCATCTCCACTGGTGTAGTCTTTTCTATGCTATTTTAGCCTATATAAAGTGTACTTTATACATATTTGTTACGAGCTGTTTCATATATAAGAGGTTGGAGTGAGTGTTTTATGTTGTGATATGCTATTTTAGCACTGCTAACATCTATACTAATCCAGTACAGAATTCAAGCATATAAACCAATATTGAAATATAAACAAGACCGCAAACAGCAAACTATGTGCAAATTGAACAATGAATAACTACCACCAAAAATAAATTTCTGTCAAAATTATAGTTGAACTAATTATCCATGACACTAGTTTGTTCTGTGTTTAAAGTTATATCCATTAATGCTATGTTCTGTGTTTGAAAAACTAATTACCTACTTCGGGTAGAATAAATGATAAAATCCTAGTAAGTTACAAATAAAATGAAAGTGAGTTAAGAACTAGGTGTTGCATTGGCTTCAATGAAAGTGAGTTAAGAAACAATGAGTTAAGTCAATCCTTGACAACCTAGCAAGTCCTGACATTGTTCCACATTGTAGTTGTTCCACATTGTTTTAATTAATCTAGCAAGTCCTGACATTTTGCCCAATGAGAATGTTTTTAGTTTGGCTCAAATTGAAGATGTTTTCAGTGCTGACATTAATCTAGCAAATCCAGTCACTCACTCTCAAATTGAAGATGTTACACTAGTTGTTCCACATTGTTCCATTTTTAGTGAAGATGTTTTCAGTTTGGCTCAAATTCAAATAGCCTTCACACTCTATCGCTTTTCTCTACGGAACTGCCATTTAAAAAATTTCTCATGTACGCAGATTTAAAAAATGGCTTCTTCTTTTAACAATAGCAACATAAGATTACAACCGAGGCTATGCAATTATGGAAGAACCGCTGCCATATATCTTGTAAGAACCAATGAGAATGGAAATCAAGGGCATTTGTTCTTTGTTTGCCCATCAAAATATGTAAGTATGCATTGGAAAATTTATTCCTTTAGTAGTCACATTAATATTTGTCTTATTCAACTAACTGATTGTCATGCATTGCAGAGTAACACTTCCACTCCCCATTGCAATTACTTCAAGTTCGTGGATGAAGATGATGAAGACGTTACGTCTAGAATCCATTCCAACAGTACAACTTGTGATGCTATAACAGTAGAAGACTTTAACAATGTAAGGACGAGGCTTGCTTACATGGAAAATGACTATGGTCAAAGGCTTCAAAGGATGGAAAATAATATCAAAGTGATGGTGTATTTCACTGTATTTTCTATCATTTTGTACTTTATGATGTAACTTTTGTACTTTATTGTATTTTGGGAAACTGAATGGAAGTTTGTACCATTTTGGGTTTTATGTACTTCATGATGTAACTTATATTTATGGAATGAATTTTAATGTTGAACTTAGAACTGCCATTACTTCATTATGGATTGATTTTTGGGAAACATTGGCTGATTGCTCTCAACTTGTGGCCTCAACTTGTTATCTGTTATCTGTTATGGAATGAACTATGAAATGAATTAACATTGGTTGATTTCCCTCAACTTGTGGCCTTAACTTGTTATCTGTTGTGGAATGAATGATGAAATGAATTTTGGGAAACATTCAACTTGTTATCTGTTATGGAATGAATGATGGAATGAATTTTGGAAAACATTTAGTTAGCAAGTTTATCATCATTACTTACTTATGGTTCTGAGTATGGCAACAACATGACTTACTTAAGTTTATCATCATTAGCATCATTATTACTTACTTAAGTTTATCTTCATTACTTACTTAAGTTAAGTTTATGACTTAAGTTTATTATCATTAGCAGCATGATAAACTGTTAGCAAGTTTATCTATTATCTGTTAGCATGTTATGGTTCTGAGTATGGCAGCAGCATGAAGCTCTAGCAGAACCATTTATCAGTATGGCACGTTTTGGTTTAACAGCAGCAGCATACCAAAACCAACATGTTATGGTTCTATGAGTATGACAGCAGATCCAGCAAATCCAACATTGGCACCAACATGTATGGTTCTATCATTAGCATGCCAGAACCAGAACCAACATTGGCACCAACATGCATGGTTCTATCATTATCATTAGCATACCAGAACCAACATGTATGGTTCTATCATTAGCATACCAGATCCAACATACCAGAACCAACATGTTATGGTTCTAGCAGCAGATCCAACATACCAGAACCAGATGACAGCAGAACCAGCATACCACCAGCAGAACAGATAAAGCAGCATACCACCAGCAGAACTAGATGACAGCAGAACTAGCATTCTACTAGCAGAACATATGAGTGATCAGCGGAACAACAGAACCAGAACCAGAACCAGCATACCAGAACCAATACAAACATGCACACCAATACAGTTACAACACAGTTTCAGCAATACAAACATGGGCACCAATACAGGTTAAATACAGTTCCAGCAGAATCAAAAAATGGACAGCAGTACAACAGATGGGATAATTTTTCTAACAAATGAAAAAGCTGTGTAAATTAACATCAAGTGTAAATTAACATCAACTATAAATTGACATCAAGTGAAGTTTGCTTACATTGGTCTATCTAAATTAACACATTAGTCCATCTAAATTAACACATATAAGCAATTTGCTTCACACATTGCTAAGCAGTTTGCTTCACACATTGCTTCACAGTTTGCTTTGAACACACATACAAGCCATTAACATTTGAACACACATTGCTCCACAGTTTGCTTTCCGGCAGTTTGCTTCATACTAGCAACATCACTTTCCAGCAGCAGTTTGCTTCACAATTTCAGTTGTTATGACTTCATTTTCCAGCCCAATTTCAGCATCAGTTTGCTTCTGTTTCTGTTTGTCCATAGCCTAAAAGGGAAAAAGACAGAATTTTTAGCAAGTAAATACATGCTATCACAGAATTTTAAGTAACTAAAAAGCCAGAATTTTCAGCAACTAAAAATTAAAAAGACAGCAAGGACAAACTTGACTACACATTGGACTATTTGATTCTTGAGAATATCGAAACGCAATGTCATATCCACATAAACCTTGAAGTAGTGACT